AAACCAAAATTCCCAGCACACTAAATCTTTTAGAAGTGTATTACATTATCATTAATAATAAAATATGACCGTGAAGAATGCCAAGCACTAATGTGGGAAAGGAGATTTTCCACTACTTACAAATTTGGAAAGTGAGGCATAGAATTTTGTAGGGGGTTTTGTTTGGGTTTTATTTTCTGTTCCTTTTTCCTCCCCCCGTACCTTACTGCCAGACAGGCACAAACTCACGATATTCTGTAAATCCTTCTTGGACTTCTCCTTCTGGATTAATTTGTCCTTTAAGAACTTGAGCTAACACTTGCTAGAAAAAAGAAAACACTGTTGACTTAAAGCTTGGTCTGGTTAATGTTATCAAAAGAGTTAAATGCATCTGACTTTATGGGTTTTATGGCCGTCGTAAGAGTTAATGTAAAGTGTTGGATAGGATGGGTTTTTTTTATGAAGGAAAAGATAGGAGGTAACAACCTACAGTGCGAGTGAACAGCTGAGTAGTTGCCTATAGTATGGGACTGTGCTACTAGTTCCCCGTGTATGTGCTTTTAGCATGCCTTAAGTAGAAGATGACGTATTTTTATTTCAAACAGAAAGCTGCTTCATGCAAAAAAGTACTCTTGTGTGCATGAGAAATGTCAAGAGGAAATTATTGCAGAGAGCGAGAGCACTGTGAGTTCACACCATGCCATATAGCACACTAGCTTTCCCTTGTAGGTAAGACCTTAAAAGGTGACCACAAAATTCACACAGTTGTTGTTACTATTAATAAATAAGAAGATGTTGCCATGTTAAGCATATTTGGACCTGATTCGGTGCTAGTTGTAGTTGTTGAGTTCTAACTAACAGTAGTTGATACTGTATCAGTTCCTTTCTTTTCTGGTTTCTTTAAGGATGCTTTCTTAATTATATTTTGCAAATCAGCTTCTTATTTCTAAACTACTATAAGACTGGCATAATCAATATAGAGATGCTGCTTCAAATCCTTTATAAAGGAACATTATAGACAGTTCTACTCATGTTTTCTTTCTCGCTTAAGAATTTCTGTGCTGCCTTACGTTTTTGTGATTGTAGACTTAGGCCTGCGAACTACTGAATACTTGGGAATTTTTCTCCTGAAATAATTTCAGTGAAGTTAAAGAATTAATTCCTTTAAAAAAAATTAGCTTGAAATTTTCTTCTTATGAAATCAAGATCATTAGTACCAGAGTTGATAACATATACCTGTGGAACTGCTTCTACTAGACTGTTTTAAATTATCTTATTATATAGCAATCTTGTGACTCTATTTTTGTGCATATAGTAGCATAGCATCATTAACGTTGAGGGTCTCATATTAATCATGCAGGGGTGAAGTAACAGGAAGATTTACTCGTCATGTTATTATCAGGACCAGGAAAAAGTGGTTGTGCTTGGGGTTTGAGTGGGTTTTGTTGGGTGCATTTGGGGTTTTTTAGGGATTTTTTTTTTTATGAGTGTTCCCCCATGTCCTCATCCCCTCCCCACCCCCAAAACTTTATAAAGCACACTTACTTCTTATTTTTCACTCTTTTTTTTCTAGTATCCTCTTCCCGATCATAAATTATGTAAGGATTATCCAAAGATATACAAACCTACTGAATTCCTCTAAATTGGAAAAATAAATGTTCTAATAAATGTATACTAACAAATTTGAATATGAAGGAAGAGGAACAGATGTTAAGGAAACATTAATTTGTTAGTCTTATTTGTCTTTAACAAGTCAGTGAGTTACACAGTATCCTTACGGAGTGAAATTCTCAGCCTGAAAAGGGAAAAAATGAGACACCCATTAACAGCCATTGGACCACATGATGATAGAGAGTCTAACATGCTGGGGAACATCAAAAGCTTGAAAGTATGGGAAAAATGATGATAATAGGATATTTAAATTGCTTTCATATAAATCAGTTAAGTATCATGTCAAACCATGATCCCAAGAGTAAACTTTTAGATGCTGTAAGGTTGTGTTAGGGGAAAAGTTGATCAAAGAACATTCATGAGAAGGTAATGCAGAGGACCTGGTTTGTAATGTTAGTAACAAAGACCTATTCTTTAGCAATGACTGTAATACACTTATGTTCAGCAACTTCCCAAAATCTGATAAAGATGCAAGTATTGAGCTTAATTTTTAAAAAGAGATGTTACATAAAAGTAAGGGTGCTTGTTGAGAAGCAGCAAGATGGGACAGCTGAAAAGAGTTAAATCTTTGGAGCAGACATGGAAATTGTACTGAAATCAAAGATTATGTGTGCAGAAATTTAAGGAGGACTGAACAGAAGCTAGGATGACTAAATTGTGGTGGTGAAAAGAAAAAAAGGAGGTTATTGGAATCAAAGATACATCTTTCAGAAAAAATTAGTAAAATGAATAGTGAGATAAATTAAAACAAAACAACCTCCACTCCCCCAGCAAACTAAAACAAACACGTAGTTCTGGCACCTTAAATATAAAAATGCAACTAGGCAAGCAAAAAAAGTTTGTAACTCACAAACAGCAGAAAAACTCTTACTGAGTCCTTTTAAAGTATAACAGGAGCAGAACATGTACAAGTCAAAGAGATAATTGCTATATAAAAGAAACACTTGGAGAAGATGAGGTAATGCAGCTGGTTCATCCTCGGGAACAAACCAGTGTGTTCAGTATGGAGGAACCTGGAAAGTACCTACTAGAAGCCCCTCTGTGGACATTAGGATGCACACTTCGTCTGCTGGGGACGTGGCAGATGGCATTCAATGTATGTTAATATTAAGTGATATGCACTGGGAAAATAAACCTAAAGTTTATATAGGCATATTGGATAACTTACATTCAGGAATGAGACCTAGGAGCTATGATAGATAATTCCACCAAAATACTGCCTCAGTGCTTAGTAACCGTCAGCAAAGTAAATCCCATTTTAATAATTATTTATGAAAGAAATAAAGAACAGATTCAGAGACCCCCCCATCTTCCCATTCACTAGTCCAGCACATAAATAAGTCTTGTATATTGTGTGATGTTTCTCACAATCTAAAAAGATAAAGTAGAATTGGAAGACCTACCAAGAGAGTAAAAAGTTGATCAAAGGTAAGGAACAGTTAGATTACTTTTCTCTCTGGAAAGTAAACTACTGTGAGAGGTGCGTTAGAGATCTGCACAATCATTGGTGGCATTGGGAAAAATAAATAAATGGGGGAGCATTGAATGAAACTTTCAACTACTGAGTGGAAAACAGTTAAAAGGAGAGGGTTCTTTATGCAACCTCTGAACAGGCTGTGTTGTTCTTTGTGCAAAATCTCAAGAAAGCTAAAGTTTTGAAGGACATCAAAATTCACTAAATAATTGATAGGAAACTTGATTATTTTTTTTAAATGTTTTAAAAAATGAATTCAAGTTTGTTTGTTTGGGTTTTTTTTTCACAGTTTCAAGTAAAGCATATACTTCATACACTGCAGCTGTTTTTCTCCTAAAGAATCAAATCTACTGCTAGTCACCCCTGTGTCTGCCTGCAATACAACTTATACATGTTCAAGCTTTTTTACTTCTCTCAAATGCCAGCACTTTAGCTATGATGGTAGAGAGCAGAGCTCAGCACAAACTAAGCTGTTTTACTCAACTTTTCAGATAGGCTGGAACAACCTTTTCTAGCTCGGTTCCTACTACTAAGTTAGTTCAAATCTGTCTCAGCCAAGTCTGCACGATGCTGCAGAAATGCCTCATACAGAAGTAAAATGGAGATGGATCTAGATGTGGTACTGGATTACATTGAAATCCAGCTGTGATTTAAGTAGGCGCTAATTTCACTAATGCAGTTAAATGTCTTGACTGCCATAACTTCTCTTCTGGGTGAAGTTCTCCTGTTATGTCTGAGTAGTGACACTAACCTAAACACATGAGTAATCCAAGTAGTGAATATTTTAATTATTGGTATCTTCTTATTTATTTCTGGTACGTATATGGATATGTGTAAGCTTCATATTTATTTCTTAGACTAATTTTTATTGTCTACAAATTAAATATTTTTTGGTGTGAGAGTAATATTAGAAGAGAAGACTTAAGCTAGCATCATTTAAACTTTTCATGTGCTGAGAAATATTTTTATAAATGTTCCTGTATATTCCATATACATAAATATTCTTCTTTGATAGATCATCCTGTTAACCATGCTATTTTGCTGTTGTGAAAGATCAATAATACTGATTTTTAATCTTTAAATATACTCTGTGTTTTGTAGTACACTCATAAATGAACTGTTTATATTCAAAAAGTCATACCAAAGTTGGCAAAGGATTTTCTATTCATTTTCTTTCTGGGTTTTTATGGTTTTGGTTTGGTGGTTTTGGTTTTTTTTTTTTATTAACAATGACTGACAAATATTGGAGCTAATGTAAATGTCCAGGAATCTACTAACAATCCTCACTTCACATTTTCATTTCATTTTGTTACAGTTAGATGAAGGCTTTATTTGGCAACAAGAAGTCTGATTTATTTACATCAAACTTTATCAAAACTCACATTAGCAGCCCATGAAAGCAGAAACAGATTTCAGTGAAGGTAGAGCCATTTAATAAAGTAGCTCTTCTCTATTTTGTTGTTTAACTAGTCTTTGTGTTATGCTCCAGTCTTTCTAACTGTGTATTCTACTTCCAACTGTTGTGTTTTTTCCCTTTTTCCCCGTAGTCAGCTGCAGGCCAAGGTGTAAACAGTGTTGAACCAGAAGAGGGGTCTTCATAGATTTTTAATCGTAATTAAGTCGGTCCCTGTCTTAAGCTGAGAAAACGTACCTCCTGTTTGACTCCTATTCACAACTCTGACCTCAGGATGCAGGGGCTGTATGTCTTCTCAGAGACTGAGCTTTATTGATGAATATTGTCTTATAATCTGACAGGACTCTTTCAGCATATACATGATAAAGCTGTCTAGCTAAAGTCTGAAAGAAATGGGGGTAGGAAAAGCGGCAACAAACCCGACATCTGTGTTTGCTTATATGCTTTGGTTTTATTTTGAAGGGCCCATCTTGCTGGGATGATGTGCTGATTCCCAACCGGATAAGAGGTGTTTGCCAGTCCAAAAGGTGCAATGGAAACATAGCGGTAAGTTTTTGTTATGTTTCTGCAAGTACTGTGGCACTTACAAGAATAATTGTTTGTAGCAATTCGAACCATATTAGAATTGCAGATATTAATGTAAACTGACATGTAAAGTACGCTTCAAACAAGCTGTTCAGCATCAGATGATGTATCTCCAGTATTTAGCAAAAAGGGGGAACTTGGTCAGTTCCTCCTTGGAATGAAGGAGGAAATCATTTTATGTCATCTCTTTCACTGAAGTAGAACTCTTGGATATCCAAGTATGCATGGATTAAATGTAGAATGTAATACTTAAATTTTTATGTCAAAGCTTATTTTATAATTATTGTGTATATATCAATGCCCTGAAACCTTCAAATTTCTGTGTCATCTTTCATATCAGATCTTTCATATCAGATTTTCAGGCTTTGTCCAAAGAAGCAGATTCTTCACACTGTTGATTACTTCACAATCTGTTCTTCCACATGCTGTTGTTTACTTTAAGTGTTTCTCAAAGTGACATCAGTGAAAAGCCTGAGTAAGAAGCAGCATAGACCTCTCAAATTCCTAAAAATGAGGATTTTTGAAAACATTACTTATGCATACTTATATCTTTTCATGTGTTAGGTATTGTTCAATAGTGTTTAATACTAAAGAGGTCTAAGAGGTACTTCCTTCACAGGGAAAAGCTTAATTTGAGGTGTTCCTTCTGGACACAGCTTTTTAAGACAAACGCAAAACTTTGTACATATGAAAGGATGCTATTCATCAAAAACTTGCAGATTGGGACACTGTAAGTGCCTCTTCTGCTGTAGTCTTCTCTACCTTTCTTAGCAAGACAGTTGTGAAGTGGCGCATCCATGTGGTTCCATGGGTTTCTCCTGCTTAGCCACAGATGATGTCAGGAAATATTTTGCCTAACTTTTGACAACAGGTGGTTGTGTTAACAGCATGGGATTTATAGCTGTCTCCATGCACAGCCGTCAGAAATAGGTCTCGCAGCTTTTGGGCTTCTGCTAGGAGGGATCCCCTCTAGGATTTGTCACTCCCTCTCTTGCTCTGGTAAAACAGGCTGTCTGTATTGTGCCTATTCCCAGCATTTTTCCTACCTGAAGTCATAGTGACTTGGTGTCATCCATTTGTTCCCAAATCTCATATGTGCTACAGATATAAAACCTCCTGCTGGCTCCTGAGATTATCTGCAGCCAGATGGTTAAACCTCACCACAAAAGCAAAGAAAGACATAGCTAGGCCTGGGCTAGACCACTTGCATCTCTTCGCCAATGTCATCTAGGTACTGGCATCTGGAGGCAGAATTAACGGTCTGCAGAAGTTAGGGACTACTTTCATCTTTCCTCTGAAAATGGGCCTGTGAATTGGCTGAACTTCCTTTCTGTTACATGTGAAATCTGGCTTTTTTTTTTTTTTTCTTTTTTTAATTCTCCTTTAAAATAGACGAAAGAAATTCAGCAGAGGATTTTGGCTTTTTAATTCAATAATGAACTTCATGCTTGTGTGACTTTCATGAATGCATCATATGTCCTTGGAAAAGAGAAAAAGTAACCTTCAGTAATTCACAAGTTGAAACCTCTAAGCTTTTCTTGGCTATTACACTCTTTGGGAGATTAAGTTACACTTTATGATTAAGTATTCATTTTGCGTTGTCATGAAAAAGTTTGTGCAATTATATTTTGTCTGTCTGTAATAGCTCCACAGTGTACCTGCTTCTTTACTGTGATGGGTAAGGAACAAGCTTTTAGACTGTTAGTTGTCAGTTATCAACAAACTGCAAACGCTACTGTTTAGGCAAAGAAAAAAGATTCCTCCATTATTTTGCCCTCAAGACACAAATGTTTTGCTTAAAAATTGCTTTTCATTGGTTTCCAGTTCTCATAAACACCAGTTTGCAACATACCTTCAAGAGGCAATGTGTGTTTTCCGAAAATACTAATTTGTATGTATTTTGGTATAAAATTAGTCCCTTGCCAGAAATTACAGGCTTTAATTCTTTTGGTTGCAAATATGAAAATAGAGTAGTTGACAACACTAGACAATGATAAAAATCAAATTTCAATTTAGTTAAAATTTGTAAATGATTGCCAAAAGTTATAATGAATATCTTAGTGATAAATGCACTGTGATTCAGTATATCTTCCAATGTGCTCACAAATATGAAATGTTTCTGATTAATTTTTGAGAGTTTGCTCAACATAAATGAAACTGAACTTAAATTTTCATGTGGTATACTCTATGTGCTTTATTTGTGACTCCAACTTCTTTTGAGCTTGGAGTGAAAACCAAAGTATTTTGTGATGCTTTATTGTTACAGTCCATAATTATGAGCAAAACATATGCAAGAGAAATAATTATAAAAGGTAAATATTTCAACTAACATTTTAAAATATGACTGCTGACTGAGAAATTGGAGAACTTGGAACACTGGATATCAGCCCCCTGTGCTGTCTGGGGGACTTTCCCACAGGTTTTCTTCATGCTCTTTTCAATTATAGGCTGTTACCCCATAGTCTGGGTTAATAGGCTCTTGAGAAGTTGTGTGCTCTATGCAGAAATACAAAAGCTTACAAACACAGTTGAAAATGGGGTCTAAACAGAGAATGTGGATTTTGAAAAGATAACAAGCAGTGTTTCTTTCAGAGATTTAATGTTAGACTAATTTATGAAGCAAAATGAAGTGCCCAGTGTTTTGAGAAATAGTGAACAAAATACATGGTGTCCAAAGTAGAGCTCAATGGGGTTTTTTTTACGTTATTTTTTTTTCCACATTATTTACAGTCTATCAGAAATAATACATTCACTCTGAACTTATACAGCTCCAAAAGGATGACGTTGGTGTGGACATGTATGTTACTGCAATTGTGGAACACTCAAATCACTTTTATAACAAACTTCAAGTATATTAATTAGAAAATGGAAAGGTTGACTTTAGCTGATTCACACTGGCACATTTTAAATGTGGATTACATTGGAGTATTTTGAGCTGTTTCGCAAACCAGGACCATTCACTAAATGAGGCAGAACCTTGTACTTTGGTAGCTGTCTCAAAACACGTTCAGCCGGAAGCGCTGTATATAGCTGTGCAGGTAGACACTTATTCTGGAGAAATGATTGAATGCACCAGCAGTGCTCCAGGCTCTGGGTTTTCAGACATATTTGCTTGCTTTTCTTTCTTAGTTCCTTTTCTTGTAATACTCTGTATTCTTTGAGAATGGTAGCCCAAAGGCTATAGAAACAGGCATGGTTTTCTGAAATTCCAGATACTGCTATCACACGAGCATAACTTAGTTACATAGCTTTAGTTACATAGTTGAATAGCTTGAACTGAATTTTTGTCACTTAGCTAGGTAGCCAGAGGTTGCTTTGTTCAGTGCAGAGCAGCACCGTAGTTAGAGTTTCACAGACCCATAAAAGTGTATGAAGGCTTTACTGGTAGGTGAGAGTTGAGGTTTGTTAGTAAGTGGTTTACAAACTGAAGAAGTGTTTACTTACTGAAGAAGTGTTCTTATTAAGCTCAGACTTCTACAGTTCTCCAAAATACATACAGAACATTTTCTGTTTATCATCCAATGAAGTGAATTTCTGATTATAAAGAGGGTTTTTCTACTTCTGTGTATAAAAATGCTATTATGTTTTCTTTTTCTTCATTGACTCCTGCTATATAAAAGTCACCAAAAGCCACAGAAATGATGTGGCACTTCTCATAGGTAGGCAGAGACAGAGCCGTAACACCTCGGTAAAGCACTGAAATGGTGACTTCATAGGAATCAGCTCCACAGCAGTCCCACAATGCATCAGTTTCTGAAAGATGTCGCCATGTCTCTAAGGCAAAATATAGGGCAAATTGTTTTGAACTTTAGAAACCTGTGGAAAAAGTGTTAACGTCCTGTATGTGTTCTTGACATTCTCGCTTGATGTGCTGAAATACTTGCTGTAGACTTTAAAATCTCAGAAACAATATTGGAAGCATTAAACAGGATTATAGGTCAGATACGGTTTAAGCCATTGTGAATAAGGAAACATGAAAATTATCTTAATGGAAAAATGAACGTGCTTCTATCCCAGTGTGATATCTCACTACTGTTATCTTGAAATTTTCATTCCTGATGAAGACTGCATCAACTGTCCATCATCATGATAACTGAATAGCATTTTTATATCTTCTCCAGTCTCAAAACCACATTAGGTTTCAGCAAAGTGTTTCTACAAGAAGCAACAGGACTTCTGTGAACTTATGGAAGCACATGAGTGTTGAGTTTCTTTATGTTTCAGTATACCCTTCTAATCAAGCTCTGTAGCAATCTCCTGTGTCCAGAGCAAAGACTTATTTTCCACTTTGGTCACTTACTAAAAAAGAATGGAGTGAAAATAGATGATTCATATATGGTTGTTATACATGGTTTCTAACAGTCGCATTTCACTATATGGTAGCATCATTGTTCCAGTGTGTGTTTGGGACAAAGACTTTGCAACACGAAGCATGTTATGTTTTTTGATTATGTAACTTCTCTTGTTATTTTCCCACATTCCTCCTGTGTAATTTGAATCTTGCAATTTTATTATATGGGAATTTTTGAAGATGCATCATGAATGTTTGTCCTTCTCCTGCATGTTTACCATCATTAGGTTTAGCACTGAGGACAGCAATATTATGTAATCTACTCATAGCTGATTTGTTCCACAGGGAATCTGTGCTCATCTAGAATAGGCTGGACTAGGAAATCAAGGGAATAGCGTTCAGCTTGGATGCTCTAAATATGCAGCTTACCAAATGCCTTTTCTTTCTAGCATCCAAAACTGTTCTTCTCGAACCTCACTATTCAGATGAAACATGCTTCATCTTTCTAATCTCATTTTGCTTTGATCAGCTCAGACCTCAGTTTTAGCTGAGAACAGAAATAAATTCTGTAGCAGTTGGAGTATCAAGAGTAAAGTAGTAAACTTAATGATGTTATCAAAATGTCAATATAGTAAACTAAAGAACTATCTTCTCATTATACGAGGGCTCT